ATTCGAATTCCGAATTTCGGGAAACGCAGTTTCCCAGAATTCGAATTCCGAAGTATGGGAAACGCAATTTCCTTTGAAAGACCGCACTCGATGGGCCAGAATTGCGTTGCCCATAATTCCGAATTATGGGAAACGCACTTCTGGCCCATGAAGTGCGTTTTTTCGGGAAACGCGGTTTCTCCGAATTCGAATTCCGAAATATGGGAAACGCAACTTCCGTTGAAAATCCGCACTCGACGGGCCAGAATTGCGTTCCCATAATTCTGGCCCGTCGAGTCTGGCCCATTCGAATTATGGGAAAATTCAAGTCTGGCCCACCGAGTGCGGTTTTTCAAGGGAAGTTGCGTTTCCCATAATTCGAATTCCGAATTTCGTGGAAGAATTGCGTTCCCCATAATTCCAAATTGTGGGAAACGCAATTCTGGCCCATTGAGTGCGGTTTTCTAAGGAAATTGCGTTTCCCATAATTCGAGTTCAGAATTCCGGGAGACGCGGTTTCCCAGAATTCGGATTCCGAATTATGGGAAACGCGATTTCCGTGGAAAAACCTTATTCAATGGGTCAGAATTGTGCTTCGCGTAATTCGGAAGTATGGGAAACGCAATTCTGGCCCATTGAGTGTGGTTTTTCCAGGGAAATTGCGGTTTTCCATAATTCGCATTCTGAATGTTGGGAAACGCGGTTTCCCAGAATTCGGATGTCGAATTATGGGAAACGCAATTTCCCCGGAAAAGCAGCATTCAATGGGCCAGAATTGCGTTTCCCATAATTCGGAATTATGGGAAGCGCAATTCTGGTCCATTGACTGCGGTTTTTCCACGGGTTCCCATAATTTGCATTCTGAATTTTGGGAAGCGCGGTCTCCCAGAATTCGAATTCCGACTTATGGGAAACGCGATTTTCTTTGGAAAACCGCATTCGATGGGATAGAATTGTGCTTCGCATAATCCGGAAGTATGGGAAACGCAATTTTGGCCCAGTGAGCGCGGTTTTTCAAGGGAAACTGCGTTTCCCATACTTCGAATTCTGAATTTCGGGAAACGCGGTTTCCCAGAATTCGAATTCAGAATTATGGGAAACGCGAAGCTGGCCTATTGAGTGCGGCTTTTCCGGGGAAATTGCGTTTCCTATAAGTCGAATTTTGAATTTCGGGAAGCGCGGTTTCCCAGGATTCGAATTCCGAATTATGGGAAACGCAATTTCTTTGGAAAAACCGCATTCGATGGGTTAGAATTGTGCTTCGCATAATTCGGAAGTGTGGGAGGGAAGCGCAATTCTGGCCCATCGAGTTCGGTTTTTCCAGGGAAATTGCGGTTTCCCACAATTCGCATTCTGAATGTTGGGAAACGCAGTTTCCCGGAATTCGAATTCTGGGAAACCGCGTTTCCCGAAATTCGGATTTCGAATTATGGGAAACGCAATTTCCCCAGAAAAACCATTTTCAATGGGCCAGAATTGTGTTTCCCATAATTCGGCTGGGAGTCCGCGTTTCCCGGAATTCGAATTATGGGAAACGCAATTTCCCGGGAAAAACCGCACTCAATAGACCAGAATTGCGTGTCCCATAATTCCGAATGTTGGGAAACGCAATTCTGGCCCATCGAGTGCGATTTTTCAAGGGAACTTGCGTTTCCCATAATTCGGAATTCGAGTTCTGGGAAACTGCGTTCGTTGCCCAGAATTCGGAATTCGAATTATGGGACACGCAATGCCCTTTTCAAAAAACCGCATTCAATGGGCCAGAATTGCGTTTCCCACAATTTGGACTTATGGGAAACGCAATCCTGGCCCATAGAGTGCGTTTTTTCAAGGGAAATGGTGTTTCCCATATTTCGGAATTTCGAATTCTGGGACACGCGTTTGCCGCACAATGTGTCCTTGGGGCAATCGTCCGGGTTTGCGTTTCCCATAATTCGCCCTTTTCCACTTGTTGAATTATGGGAAACGCAAGCCCGGACGGCAGCCGCTTCGCGGGGTCTTGGGGCCATCTTGGGTGTTTTGGACCGGTCGTGGTCGTGCGGCGATTCGGGGCACCCTTGGACCGTCTGGGCGGCCTCTTGGACCCCTCTTGATCCGTCTTCGGGCCTTCACGGCTTCGAAAGAAGTCGTGCGCTGAACACTCGAGTGAGCCGAGAGGGCACGCCGGGAGCCCAAGGAGACTTGAGAGCCGGGGTCCAGGCCCCGTGAAGAATCTTCAGGAGTGAAGACTGGGGCTCCAGGGGATTGAGCAAGTTCCTGAGGCCACTCCAACTCGTGCCTCAAGGGCACGGTGTCGGATACATGTGCGTGTTCATATACATATATATACACATACTACTTGTATTCGATGTTCAACTATCCATGTATAGGTGCATATCGGTACACCTATATGTGCTGTAGGGTTCCACATGCACATTCTGTATACATATATATAAATACATATATATATATGCAGTTCCATCAATATACAGAGAAAAGAAAGCAGGGGGATTCTGATTCTGATGATGATGCTGATGCTGCCGCTGCTGATGCTGATGCTGCTGCTGATGATGATGCTGATGAGGAAGATGATGCTGATGCTGCTCATGATGCTGCAGCTAATGATGATGGTGGTGATGATGCTGTTGGTAACGATAATGCTGCTGATGATGATGAGGAGTAAGATGCTGCTGCTCATGATGATGATGATGCGGCTGCTGCTTCTGCTGATGATGATGATGATGATGATGATCATGCTGATGATGATGATGATGATGATGATGATGATGATGATGATGATGATGATGATCATGCTGCTGATGCTGATGATGATGATGATGATGATGATGATGTTGATGATGATGATGGTACTGCTGATGCTGATGCTGATGCTGATGCTGATGCTGATGCTGCTGCTGATGATGCTGCTGATGATGCTGCTGATGATGATGACGCTGATGATGATGGGACTGGTGGTTATCCAGCAGCCTGCGCCAAGGCTTGCCACCGTGCCAGCGCAGCACTCTGTGTGAGAACGCTCGAAGCACCGCCCAGAAGGCCGTAACATGTGACACCGCTCGTCTGCATCCCTCCAGAGGCTCGCATGAGACGACCTGGGCTGGCTTGGACTCCTGTGGGGCCGCCTTGAGGCCGTCTGGGGATCCTCCTGGGCCGTCTTGGGGCCCTCTTGGGCCATCTTGGGGCCTTCTTGGGTGGTCTTGGGTCCTTCTCTGCTGGGCCGTATGAGAGCCTCTGGGGGTTGTCATGGGAGCCGGCATCCAAGATGCGCCCCAAGAGGGCCTCTAGACGCAAAAAGTTGGCCAGTTCCCTTCGTAAAACGTCTATTTTTCACAAATTCGCCTTTTGGGCTTTCCGACGCCGCCTCCTCCTCCTCCTCCCCCTCCTCCTCCTCCTCCTCCTCCTCCTCCTCCTCCTCTGCCTTGGGACTCGGTTGGGCTGTCTTCGGGCTCTTTCGGGCAGTCTTGGAGCCTCCTTGGGGGCGGTCCCAGGCCGTCGGGGGGCCCTCGCTGGACCCGGACGGGGCTCGCCTCGGCCCTCCTTTGGCTCCTCCGAGGTCCTCGCGAAGCCACCTCGAGCCGGGAGGCGTGGGCGACCCAGCATCATCAAACACCCGAGGATCTCCATCGACTTTTGATGGACTTCGGCTTACACGGAGAGCTTCTCGGCTTTCCCTTTGGTATATGGGAGGCCTCTTGCTGTCTGGCGCCTCTTGAGGTACTGCTGGGTCGTCTCGGTGGCTTTGGTGGTCTCCCTGGGCGGTCTTGGAAGCCCAGGGGACTTCGGAAGGCGGCGGGCATTCTGAAACCTCGAACGCGTGGGTGGGTGGGTGGGTGGGGGGGGGGCACGCGGCAGTGTGTGGTGAGAGAAGAGGAGGGTGACCCGTAGTAGATCTACAGAAGCCTTATCAGACAGCACTTCGCATTCTACCATGATGAGGCGAAGCATGATGAAGATGCCGATGATGATGCTGATGGTGATGATGATGGTGATGATGATGAGGATTCTGCTCTTGATGATGAGGAGGACGAGGAGGATGATGCTTCTCCTGCTGCAGCTTCTGCTGCTGCTGATGATGATGTTTATGTCGTTGTCTATGACGGTGATACAGATGACCACGATGATGTAATCATGAAGATAGTGAGGCTGCTGCTGATGACGATTGTTTAGATTCTGTTGACGATGCGAATGATGATGACGATGATGCTGATGATGCTGATTATGCTGATGCTGGTGATGATGCTGCTGATGATGATGATGATGCTGATGATGGTGATGATTCTGCTGCTGCTCCTACTACTCCTGCTGCTGCTGATGAGGTTGTCTGGTTGGCTGTGACGGTGATGACGATGAACGTCGTGATGTTAGAATGAAGGTGGTGAGACTGCTGCTGCTGCCGACTACGATTATGAGGATGATGCTGTTGATGCTGATGCTGATGCTGATGATGATGCTGATGCTGATGACAAGGATGATGATGATGCTGATGATGATGCTGATGCTGATGATGATGATATTTATGATGATGCTGATGCTGATGCTGATGCTGATGCTGATGCTGATGATGATGCTTATGATGATGATGATGCTGATGATGATTAGGATACTGATGATAATACTGATGCTGATGCGGATGCTCATGCTTATGCTGATGATGCTGATGATGCTGCTGCTGGTGGTGATGATGATGATGATGATCGTGATGATGATGCTGATGCTGATGCTGATGTTGATGAGGATGAGGTTGAGGATGAGGATGAGGATGATGATGCTGCTGCCGATGATGATGATAATGATGTTGATGTTGGTGGTGGTGGTGATGATGATGCTGATGATGCTGCTGATGATGATGGTGATGGTGATGGTGATGGTGATGGTGATGATGATGATGATGATGGTGATGATGATGATGATGCTGATGCTGCTGCTGATGATGATGATGATGATGATGATGATGATGATGATGATGATGATGATGATGATGATGAAAGGGGAGGATTTGAAGGTGGCGCGCTCTGCAGGAGCGGCGGGATGGGCGGCCAGCAGTCCCCGCTGCTGCCAGAGTCGCAGGCGACCCAGCAGCACAGGCGGCGGCAGGCCGCCCGCTGGCCTACCCTGCCCTGCCGTCGGAGCACGAAGCGCGCACATGCAGGCCGACGGCCTCCCTCCCTGCTCTCCCCAACCATCCCGAGGTGTTGGGCCCTCGTTTTGAATCTGCAGCACCCCGCGCCTCATCCGCATCTCCCGCTGCCCCTTCCCTCGTGCCTCTGCCCTCCGCATGCCCATCTCGGCACACCCATCACACGCCTCGCGGCACCACAGGGAGCTCACCCGAAGCCCTCGGTGCGGGACCGACGGCATAGCATCACCCAGCCAATCTCGGCACACCCCTCACGCGTCTCGCGGCCCCACAGGGAGCTCCTCCGAAGCCCTCGGTGTGGGACCGACGGCATAGCATCACCCAGCCAATCTCGGCACACTTCTCACACGTGTCGTGGCCCCATAGGGAAATCTCCACCGAAGGCCTCAGTGTATGGGACCGGCCGCCTAGTGCCCCCCGGCAAGCACACTCCTCACACGCTTCGTGGCCTTCTGGGGAGCTCTGCCAAAAACCTCAGTGGGACCAGCCGCATAGCGTTCCACAGCATGTTTCGGCACACCCCTCAAACTCCTCGTGGCCCCATGGGGAGCTCCACCCACGGGTCTCAGTGGGACCGACGGCGCAGCGCCCTCCAGTCGGCTTACCCCTCGCACGTTTCGGGGCCCCACCAGAGGCCTTTGGTGGGACCGACCGTACGGCTCCCCCCCGCCCATGTCGGCGAACCCGCACACCTTCTGTGGCACCATGAGGAGCTCCACCGAATGCTTCAGTGGGCCCAATTGTATAGCGTTGCCCACACACGTTTCGTGGCCCCACGGGGAGCTCTATCCCTCACGAGGATCGGGGACCTTCACCTATTGTCCCAGTGAGGGCAACGGAATGGTTGTAGGGACTCATGAGGATGGGCCCAGGGCAGGGAGGGTTATCTCGGATTCACTCTGGTCCTCCTCCTCTTCCTCCTCCTCCTCCTGGATTCCTCCTCTGAGAGGCTAGGCCTCCTTCTTCTTCTTCTTCTTATTTTGTCTTATCTTCCTCCTTCTCCTCCTCCCCCTTCTCCTCCTCCTCCTCCTTTTCCTCCTCCTCCTCCTCCTCCCCCTCCTCCTCATCGTCCTCCTACCTCTTCTTCCCTGCCCCCTTCCCCGCGTTCTCCCACGCTTTCCAGCCCAGGCCTTGCGTCTTCTTCCACGCGCAGCGCTGCGCGAACGACCTGGCCTGCTCTTTCTGCCACCTGTGCGACGCGGGGGAGATCAGGGGCAACGATAGGGGGGGATGGGCATAGGGGGGTATGCATCGACCCCAATCGCCCATTGTTCGCCGATAGGGGCCCGATAGCCCCAGCCTGCCCAGGAAGGCTCGGATTCATTATCGGAGGCCTATCGCCGATCCATCGGCGATGTATCGCCGATTCCAGTTCAATTCATCCCCTCCTATGCCAGTCCCCCCCTATCGTTGCCCCGCAGGAGAAGGACAGACGAAAACGAGAGAGGCCCGGCGAGACCCAGAGGCAGACCAAGGTGATCCATCCCTTATCCTCCTCGCAGTTTTCCTTTTCGGTCTCCACCCTAGCCTCGTCGTCGTCGTCGTCGTCGTCGTCGTTGTCGTTTTTCGTCGTCGTCGTCGTCCCCTTCCTCCTCCTCCTCCTCCTCCTCCTCATGCTCCTCCTCCATCCGTCTTCCTCATGAAGAACTCCTCCCCGTCGCACTCCGAGACCGGTCGATGGGGCGGGCCGGGCGTGTCGCTCGAGACTCCTTCACCATCTGTCGGCCACGCGCAGAGGGGGGTAGGGGGAGGGGGAAGGCTTCTTAGAAGCACCCCTGCTTCTTAGAAGGCGCGGTCCTTATGTGTAGATGTAAGGCCGCCGCCTTCTAAGAAACAGCCTCCTTTTAAGAAGCCTTCCCCCCTCCCCCTGCCCCCTCCTGCGCGCCGCCAAATCTGTGATCCCGAGGCTCGCAAGCTGCAGCAGTTCCACGGGCGGAGGGCGGGTCGTCTTCAGAAGGTGGCAGTCGCTGCAGCGCCGCGCGCACGCGTCTGAAGAGGCTGTAGGAGCTCCACGGGCGGAGGCTTCGGGTGGTCGTCACCACGTGGCTCTCGCCGTAGCGCCGAGCAGGTCTGTGCTGAAGATCGCAGGACTTCTACGGGTGCAGGGCGGGCCGTTTTCAAACCGCTGCTCTTGCCGTAGCGCGGCGCACATCCGTCTCTCAAGAGCTTGCAAGAGCTTCACGGATGGAGGGCGGTGCCTGTTCAGAGTTTGGTTCTCGTCTTAGCGCCGCGCACATTCGGTGTAACAGTTCACAGCAGTTTCAAGGACTCGTATGGTTGATGCCACAGAAACGGTGTTTTGGCATGATTTCGGAATGCCAGGGCGCAGCTGTCACGTTGGTTCGCGGAGTTGAAGTCTCAGGAAGGGTGCTCTGGCGCGAGTCAGGATCATCAAGACCCAACGGTAACGGTGGTTCATGCGCTTGAGGTTTGCTCTGACACGTTTGGAGATTTAGCAGATGGGTTTCCCAATTCGGCATTTCCCGCAGTGAAAACAGTTCCTCCGGGTTGTGATGAGGGAATCTGGTCGTTGATGAGTCTGGGGCTTACTCTGGTCCTCCTTGTCCTCCTCCTCTATCCTTTCCTTTCCCCCGCTCTTCTGCCTCCTCCTCCTCGCCCTCTCTTCCCCCCCTCCTCTTTCCTCTCCCCTCCTTTGCTTTTGCCTCATCATGGTCTTACTCCTTCTCCTCCTCCTCCTCCTCCTCCTCCTCCTCCCAGTCGAGAAGGCGGGCTGGGCGTTTCGTTCCACATTTCCTCACCGTTGACAACCCTGAAGCCTAAGATGTGCAACCAATTCACAGATGGAGGGCGGATGGCTTTCAAAATGTGGTCTTTGCTTTACTGCTGCAAGAGCTTCGCGGATGGAGGGCGGGTCGTTTTCAAAGTGTAGCTGTCGCCTTAGCGCGACGCACCTTCGTCTTAACAGTTTGAACGAATTTCACGGATGGGGGGCGGGCCGTTTTCAAACCGCTGCTCTTGCCGTAGCGCGGCGCACATCCGTCTCTCAAGAGCTTGCAAGAGCTTCACGGATGGAGGGCGGTGCCTGTTCAGAGTTTGGTTCTCGTCTTAGCGCCGCGCACATTCGGTGTAACAGTTCACAGCAGTTTCAAGGACTCGTATGGTTGATGCCACAGAAACGGTGTTTTGGCATGATTTCGGAATGCCAGGGCGCAGCTGTCACGTTGGTTCGCGGAGTTGAAGTCTCAGGAAGGGTGCTCTGGCGCGAGTCAGGATCATCAAGACCCAACGGTAACGGTGGTTCATGCGCTTGAGGTTTGCTCTGACACGTTTGGAGATTTAGCAGATGGTTGTTTCCCAATTCGGCATTTCCCGCAGTGAAAACAGTTCCTCCGGGTTGTGATGAGGGAATCTGGTCGTTGATGAGTCTGGGGCTTACTCTGGTCCTCCTTGTCCTCCTCCTCTATCCTTTCCTTTCCCCCGCTCTTCTGCCTCCTCCTCCTCGCCCTCTCTTCCCCCCCTCCTCTTTCCTCTCCCCTCCTTTGCTTTTGCCTCATCATGGTCTTACTCCTTCTCCTCCTCCTCCTCCTCCCAGTCGAGAAGGCGGGCTGGGCGTTTCGTTCCACATTTCCTCACCGCTGACAATCCTGAAGCCTAAGATGTGCAACCAATTCACAGATGGAGGGCGGATGGCTTTCAAAATGTGGTCTTTGCTTTACTGCTGCAAGAGCTTCGCGGATGGAGGGCGGGTCGTTTTCAAAGTGTAGCTGTCGCCTTAGCGCGACGCACCTTCGTCTTAACAGTTTGAACGAATTTCACGGATGGGGGGCGGGCCGTTTTCAAACCGCTGCTCTTGCCGTAGCGCGGCGCACATCCGTCTCTCAAGAGCTTGCAAGAGCTTCGCGGATGGAGGGCGGTGCCTGTTCAGAGTTTGGTTCTCGTCTTAGCGCCGCGCACATTCGGTGTAACAGTTCACAGCAGTTTCAAGGACTCGTATGGTTGATGCCACAGAAACGGTGTTTTGGCATGATTTCGGATGCCAGGGCGCAGCTGTCACGTTGGTTCGCGGAGTTGAAGTCTCAGGAAGGGTGCTCTGGCGCGAGTCAGGATCATCAAGACCCAACGGTAACGGTGGTTCATGCGCTTGAGGTTTGCTCTGACACGTTTGGAGATTTAGCAGATGGTGGTTTCCCAATTCGGCATTTCCCGCAGTGAAAACAGTTCCTCCGGGTTGTGATGAGGGAATCTGGTCGTTGATGAGTCTGGGGCTTACTCTGGTCCTCCTTGTCCTCCTCCTCTATCCTTTCCTTTCCCCCGCTCTTCTGCCTCCTCCTCCTCGCCCTCTCTTCCCCCCCTCCTCTTTCCTCTCCCCTCCTTTGCTTTTGCCTCATCATGGTCTTACTCCTTCTCCTCCTCCTCCTCCTCCTCCTCCCAGTCGAGAAGGCGGGCTGGGCGTTTCGTTCCACATTTCCTCACCGTTGACAATCCTGAAGCCTAAGATGTGCAACCAATTCACAGATGGAGGGCGGATGGCTTTCAAAATGTGGTCTTTGCTTTACTGCTGCAAGAGCTTCGCGGATGGAGGGCGGGTCGTTTTCAAAGTGTAGCTGTCGCCTTAGCGCGACGCACCTTCGTCTTAACAGTTTGAACGAATTTCACGGATGGGGGGCGGGCCGTTTTCAAACCGCTGCTCTTGCCGTAGCGCGGCGCACATCCGTCTCTCAAGAGCTTGCAAGAGCTTCACGGATGGAGGGCGGTGCCTGTTCAGAGTTTGGTTCTCGTCTTAGCGCCGCGCACATTCGGTGTAACAGTTCACAGCAGTTTCAAGGACTCGTATGGTTGATGCCACAGAAACGGTGTTTTGGCATGATTTCGGAATGCCAGGGCGCAGCTGTCACGTTGGTTCGCGGAGTTGAAGTCTCAGGAAGGGTGCTCTGGCGCGAGTCAGGATCATCAAGACCCAACGGTAACGGTGGTTCATGCGCTTGAGGTTTGCTCTGACACGTTTGGAGATTTAGCAGATGGTTGTTTCCCAATTCGGCATTTCCCGCAGTGAAAACAGTTCCTCCGGGTTGTGATGAGGGAATCTGGTCGTTGATGAGTCTGGGGCTTACTCTGGTCCTCCTTGTCCTCCTCCTCTATCCTTTCCTTTCCCCCGCTCTTCTGCCTCCTCCTCCTCGCCCTCTCTTCCCCCCCTCCTCTTTCCTCTCCCCTCCTTTGCTTTTGCCTCATCATGGTCTTACTCCTTCTCCTCCTCCTCCTCCTCCTCCTCCTCCCAGTCGAGAAGGCGGGCTGGGCGTTTCGTTCCACATTTCCTCACCGTTGACAATCCTGAAGCCTAAGATGTGCAACCAATTCACAGATGGAGGGCGGATGGCTTTCAAAATGTGGTCTTTGCTTTACTGCTGCAAGAGCTTCGCGGATGGAGGGCGGGTCGTTTTCAAAGTGTAGCTGTCGCCTTAGCGCGACGCACCTTCGTCTTAACAGTTTGAACGAATTTCACGGATGGGGGGCGGGCCGTTTTCAAACCGCTGCTCTTGCCGTAGCGCGGCGCACATCCGTCTCTCAAGAGCTTGCAAGAGCTTCACGGATGGAGGGCGGTGCCTGTTCAGAGTTTGGTTCTCGTCTTAGCGCCGCGCACATTCGGTGTAACAGTTCACAGCAGTTTCAAGGACTCGTATGGTTGATGCCACAGAAACGGTGTTTTGGCATGATTTCGGAATGCCAGGGCGCAGCTGTCACGTTGGTTCGCGGAGTTGAAGTCTCAGGAAGGGTGCTCTGGCGCGAGTCAGGATCATCAAGACCCAACGGTAACGGTGGTTCATGCGCTTGAGGTTTGCTCTGACACGTTTGGAGATTTAGCAGATGGTTGTTTCCCAATTCGGCATTTCCCGCAGTGAAAACAGTTCCTCCGGGTTGTGATGAGGGAATCTGGTCGTTGATGAGTCTGGGGCTTACTCTGGTCCTCCTTGTCCTCCTCCTCTATCCTTTCCTTTCCCCCGCTCTTCTGCCTCCTCCTCCTCGCCCTCTCTTCCCCCCCTCCTCTTTCCTCTCCCCTCCTTTGCTTTTGCCTCATCATGGTCTTACTCCTTCTCCTCCTCCTCCTCCTCCTCCTCCTCCTCCTCCTCCTCCCAGTCGAGAAGGCGGGCTGGGCGTTTCGTTCCACATTTCCTCACCGTTGACAATCCTGAAGCCTAAGATGTGCAACCAATTCACAGATGGAGGGCGGATGGCTTTCAAAATGTGGTCTTTGCTTTACTGCTGCAAGAGCTTCGCGGATGGAGGGCGGGTCGTTTTCAAAGTGTAGCTGTCGCCTTAGCGCGACGCACCTTCGTCTTAACAGTTTGAACGAATTTCACGGATGGGGGGCGGTCCGTTTTCAAGATGTGGCTCTCGCCGTAACGCGGCGTACATGCGTTTCAACCTATTGCAAGAGCTTCGCTGATGGAGGGCTGTCCCTTTTTCAAAATGTGGCTCTCGCATCAGCGCTGCGCACATTCGTCTGACGAGTTGGCAG